TTCAGGGACAGCAACCAGGCCCTGAGTTCAAGCTCCACAACTGACAAAAAACAAAAACAAAAAACTATGACCTAAAGCAACATACTAATAGCACACTTAGTATATAAAAGAAGGAAATAGTAATACTGGTTTCCTAAAGTCAATTTAAGAGATTAAGTGATCAATACAAACAAAACACTTGAGATAGCACCTAAGAATCACCAATGACTCTTTAAGCAGTGGTTATCATACTTGAAACTTAATTACCATATTGCTTAAAGAAATGTGAAGGCCTCTAAAACTGCAAGATTGTCCTCAGCAAAAGTCAAATGTCAGAGCATATATATCATATATATACTTATTTCCAAATTTTACTTCTCCAGTTATGACATCTGTCCATTTAATATTTTAACTTTGATGTTAAACTCTTCAAACCTAACATAATCAAAACCAAACTTTTTACTTCCTTCACCCAGCTTGTTCTGTTTTTAGCCTTCTCCATTTCAGTATATAGCACCTTTTTAAAAAAAATTTATTTGGTTGTAAAGATGATGCAGAGGGGTTACAGTTACATAAGTAATAAGTACATTTCTTGTTGAACATTGTTAACACCTCATTTTTCTACCACTTCCCCCTCCCAATCACGTTGTAGAGCTCATTTCCAACATAGTGTCTTGTGAATATCACTTCATTGGTTCACCCTTTGTTTATCCATTTTGTTATTCCCCTTCCCTTCCCCAAATCAGATAAATGTATATACAAGACAGAGTACCAGAATCAAAAACAGTGACTACAGGGGATAAACCAAAGGGAAAAAGAAAAGAAGGGGAGGGAAGGAGGGAAGGAAAGGGAGGAAAGAAGAGAGAGAGAGAGAGAGAGAGAAACAACTTCATACAATACATTAAAAACAACATCAAAAACAAAAAACCTCATTTCCCTATCTTGGAAATTAGCATCATTTTATATGGTCATATGAACATAGCTATTGAGCTACTGTGATCCTCTGCTAGGACTATCCTAGACATATACTAATTCTTACAAATGAAGGAAAACATGGAACCTATGTTTCTTTGGGTTTGGCTTGCTTCACGTAGTGATTTTTTTTTCCAAGTCTTTCCATGTCTTTACAAATGGGGTGATGTCATTCTTTCTGATGGAAGCATAGCATTCCATTGTGTATAAATACCACATTTTCTTGACCCATTCATCTACTGAGGGGCATCTGGGCTGGTTCCATATCTTAGTAAATAATGATACAGAACCTTTCATCCCTTGTTCAGACAAGACAATTATCCCTAATTCCTTTCATTTTCTCAATATTTACTGCCAATCCCAAATGAGGTCCTATTGGACCTACCATAACTCATACCGCACATTTTCCACTTTCTCTGCACTGCTACTGCTACCACAGCCCCTACCATGCTGTTTCTTCTGTTGTCCCACTACTAAGGAACTAAGAGACCACCCCCAAATAAAACCCTCAACCATAGTTAGAATAAATTCTAAGCTGGACACCAGTGCACACCTGCAATCCTAGCTACTTAGGATCCTGAGATCTGAGTATGGCTATTCAAAACCAGATTGGGCAGAAAAGTCCATGAGACTCTTATCTCCAATTAATCAAAGAAAAAGACTGAAGTGGTACTGTAGCTCAAGTGGAAAAGCACTAGCCTTGAGCAAAAGGAGCCTAGGGACAGTGCCCAAACCCAGAGTTCAAGGCCCAAGACTGGCAAAAAATAAAATAAAAAGTGTTTGATAAGGCTCTTTCTACCTGCTTTCCCAACTTCATCTTCTTAACATCTCTCATTTAAACTCTAGCCATGATGACTGGCCTTTTTCAAAACTAGGATCTCTTAATTTGCTAAATCTCATTCCTATTTCTTTAGTGTCTGCCACTCAAATGTCACCTCACTTTGTTGAGGTGAATAGGAACACTCCCTTATTCCCTTCACTGTTTTTTCTCCAGCCCATTTAATACCATTAAACACTATAGGGTTATTTTTGTCGGTCGTGGGGCTTGAACTCTGGGTTTGGGCACTGTCCCTGTGCTCTTCAGCTCAAGGTGAGTGCTCTACTGCTTGAGCCACAGCACCACTTCCGGTTTTCTAGTGGTTTATTGAGATAAAAGTCTCATGAACTTTCCTGCCCAGGCTGCTTTAACCACGACCCTCAGATCTCAGCCTCCTGAGTAGCTAGGATTACAGGTGTGAGCCACCAGCACCCAGCTAACACTACAGGTTTTATTCACTCATCTATGTATCCTTCTCCACTAGAACCTAAATCCACAAAATCAATGGTATCTATCCTTTTATTTTTTCACCATCCTATCCAGTCAATGGAATACTAAAAGCCTGTACTTGATAGGTCAACAATATATATCTTAAAGAGAATGACTGAATGAGCCTTTCTTGGTTTTTGTTGTTGTTGTTTCTTTGTTTTTTGAGACAAGGTCTCACTACGTAGCCCAAGCTAGCCTCAAGCTTGCAATCCTCAGCCTTCTTCCTAGTTTAGCTTCTGAATGCTGGGATTATAGGCACATGCTATCATGCCCAGCTGCCTTCTGCTCTTATTCACAGTTGTTTAAACAACATCCAGAATATAGATGATATTCAAAATGTATTGAAGCAAGCCAGGCACCAGTGGCCCATGCCAGTAATCCTACTCAGAAGGCTGAGATTGGAGGGATAGTAGTTTGAAGTCAATTTTTTATACATAAAAAATTGACAGATTGAATTGAATTGAAAGGTACATTTTTAAATCATTTTCTTTAGAAAGAAAGAAAAGAAAAGAAAAAAGGTCAGCTAGGCATTGGTGGTTCATGTCTATTATCATTCCTAATCAAGGATCTAAGTAAGTATCAGGGTTCAAAGCCAGCCTGGGCAGAAAAGTCCATAAAACTTTTATGTCCAGAGGGGTTAACAATGCTCAATAGGAAATGTACTAATTACCTCGTAACTGCAACCCCTCTGTACAGTATTTTTACAATAAAAATATTTAAAAAAGAAAAAAAACTTTTATGTCCAATTAGCCATATGAACGAAAGTGGAAGTGGATCTGTGGCTAAAGTGGTACAGCATCAGCCTTGAAAGGAACAGAGCTAAGGAAAAACACCCTACCCCTGAGTTCAAGCCAAGTCCCACTACATGTGCACGTGAACATGCATGTTGAGTGCAAAAACTCACACACACACACAATTGATGCCCTGTGTAGATAAGAAAGAGGTATAGCATCTAATTCTCAAGTGGAAGAACTGTCATTAAGTGAGGAAAATTATGCATAACATCAAAGAATATTGACTATATAGGTAGAAATACCTATGTAGATTAAATGGTGGCAGCTTAAGGCAATTCTCTCCTAGTTGCTAAATTGTTTCAGGCTGCACTATCTAGTAAGGAACACAAAAGAGAACATGTACTAGAAAGACCTTGGGTCACACCCTTGAAGGAGTCATAGGACCAGCTAACAAAAAATCACAGCACCAAACAGAGCAGAGTTCAACAGTATAACAGAAAACTTGAGAGGCTATGCTACCACAGAAACCAGCCGTGCTCCAAGAAATGAACCTGCTCAACCAGCACCAGATGACAATATATCCTAGAAGTGATATGCTGACTAAATTTACTTAAAGTCAGTAAAGAGGTGATAGATAGAGAATTTATATAGGATATATACTTCACATATACAGCACAAGGAATATATACAGGTGATGTATACAAAAGTCAGTATATGAAAGGTGAATAAATATTACCAAAGAGGTGTGCTACAACAGCCTATGTATATGCCTTTCTTTCAGTGTAAGTAAATTTAGCTTATTTCTTCAAAAAAAAAATCTCTAAATGACTAGTAATAAATACTAACTTTTTCAAAACTTTGACAAGAACAGTTCATATGTAATGGAGCATCAAAGTAGTAAATCCTCAAACTATTTTAATAAAAGTCTAATTTCCCCAAAACTTACAGGGAGTTCACCATTACATCTGCCTCATAACTGTAAAGTCTTTCTTTTCCAGGTACGTAAGTTTAAAACATTCTATTCACGGGATATAAGGATAACATTTTTTAAAAATCCTTCAGCCGAAGTTCTGGAAAGCATTTTAAGGCAACACTGCCACCAGAAGACTACTAAGGAAAGTAACTGGTATCAGCTACAGAACTGGCTAATTGCAGACTATTTACCTGGTCTCTCTCCGTAGCCACATTACCACCTCAACCTGCCAGTTCTACATACTAAATAGCCATTTCTTCTTGTAGCTCATCCTTTAACACACACACACACACACAAAACTTTTCTTCTTTCATCTCCGGTCCCAGCACCAACCAAACCCGGCAGCACATCCGAGTGAGTCCTCGGTAAACACTGGTCAAGCAACACGACGAAGCAGCGTTCAGCTGCTTTCTGGGTCGTGCAGAAAGGCCAAGCATATAGACCATGTCTTGGGGTCAGCATCTCCGCTTTAGCTTTCACAGCAGAGGCAACCGAGGACTCGTTTAAGTCCTCCAGACGATTTAGAGAAGAGAGATCACAGTCTGCCAAGCACCAAACTTATGGAAGAAAAGAAAAGCAATACAACCACCATGGGGGGGGGGGGGGGAGGAGAATTCTTTGAAATCTTTGAACTAAGCATCGTATCCCAGCCAACGTCCTCCACCAGCCATGTGCACGTGTGAGAAGGTCTCCGAACCCCTGTACTGTATCTAGGTTATGTGTTTCCTTCAGCGATGCACAACGTCCTGGGGCCCGGTAGTTCAACAACGTGTTCCGGAATCGCCGCGTCTGTCATTGTTTTACAAGTGTGGAAAAACTTGGGTGGTGGTGGTGGTGGTGGTGGTGGTGGAAGCGAGTTCCCGACCGACGCGGGCTGGCGGGCGGCGCGCCGCGAGACCCCGGCGCTCCCCGGCTCGCGGGCCGGCGCCGCGCCCGGCACCTGGGGGGGAGGGGGGGAGGCTCTCGGGCCGGACGCGCCGCCGGGTTAAAGGGCCGCGGCCGCGGGCCGTCCCGTCCCGCCCCGCCCCGCGCTTACCCGGTAGTTGCTCGAGCCCACCCAGCCGACGAGCGCGTCCACGATCTTATCCAAGCGGCTCGGGTCTTCCTCCAGATCCGGGATGGCGCTGGGGGAGCCGAGGTAGAGCAGGAGTTCCGAGCCGGCCTGCAGTCGGCTGCCCACCTCCTTCTGCAGCACCTGGGCGCTGAAGTACTCCGCGCTGCGGGGCTCCATGGCTGCGCCCGCCCGTCCGGAGCTAACTTCTCACCGAGCGCCGCCCAGCCGCCACTCCGAGCCCCTGAGGGAGCCGGAGGGGACGCCCTGGTCCGCACGAGGCGCCGCTCCCGGGGCACGGCGGGGCGGCGTCGGGAGGGGGGAGGGGTGGAGGGAGGATGGTGGGAAGCGCCAAACACCCCGCGGCCCCCAAACTAGTCAAACTCGGCGCCCCCCAGCCCCAGCCCGCTTCACAGGCCGCGGCCGCCGGTGACGTCAGCGCGCGCGTGACGTCAGCGCGACGCCGCAGAGAGCCCGCCCCCTCGCCCGGCTATCATCAGGAGGTGGCGACGGCAGCAGCCGCGGCCCAGGAAATAATGGGAATAATGCGAGCGATCGCGGAATCTGCTGGGGACGGAGGGATCGGGGGTGAGGTGGGGGGGCCCGGCCGGTCCTGGGGTCCAGCTGGAATCGGCCCTCGAGGGGGCTGGCAGCTCTCCGCCAGGCGCCTTGGACTTGTGAAAAGTTTCTGGTACTTGGAATCTCCCGCCCCCTCCCTCCGCCCAGGCCATTTCCTTCTAAAGCCAGACTGCAGCTTAATGTTCTTCTTCCTCAAAAACCTCCTTGTCTCTGCTCCCAGCCACCCCCTCAGTCACTGTGTCACACTTTGCTGTTGTTGATAACGCTGGATTTCTAAAGTGCATTCTGGAGGGTTGACCAATTTTTATTCACTGCTTGACACCACCACTGCCCCGCCCCCCCCCCCCTCCCCCCCGGTACAGATTTATATTTCCATTATCCTGGGAAGTTCCCAGTCACTGGCTCCGCCCTGGGCCATTCAGAATGGCATTTTTAACTTAGTAACACAATTTTCCCTGTGGTAGGCATTTTGGGGTTTTTTTCCAGTTTTTTTTTTTTTTTTTTTTGTAATTAAAAATAAAACTGCTACCATGATGACTAGACCAGTTGTTACATGGATTGAAGTTTTCATTTATCTTGGGTAAATACCAAGGGCTGGAATGAGTAGTACTTATGAAATAAATGTATGTTAACTTTAGAAGTCAAATGTCTATAGCTAGCGAAATATATCGAAACCCCACAGACCGGGAGAAGATCTTCAGCACTCATGCAAGAGACAAGGGTCTCATATCTAAAATATACCAATAGCTCAATAAATTAAATTCCCCCAAATAAAACCCCCAATGAAACAACCACCCTATTAAAAAGTGGGCTAAAGACCTTAAGAGAGACCTCTCTGAAGAGGAAATATGAATGGCCAAGAGACTCATCAAGAATTGTTCAACATCTATGGCTATAAAAGAAATGCAAATCAAAACAACATTGGGATTCCACCTTACACCAATTAGAATGGCCAAAATCAAGAAATCTAACAACAACAGATGCTGGCAGGGATGTGACAAAAGGGGACTGCTACTGCACTATTGGTGGGAGTGCAAACTTGTTCAACCACTCTGAAAAGCAGTGTGGAGGTTCCTCAAAAAACTACACGTAGAGGTTGGGGATGTGACTTAGTGGTAGAGCGCTTGCCTAATATGCATGAAGCCCTGGGTTCAATCCTTCAGCACCACATAAACAAAAAAGACTGGTAGTGCCTCAAGTGGTAGAGTGTTAACCTTGAGCAAAAAGAAGCTCAGGAATGGTGCTCAGGCCCTGAGTTCAAGACCCAGAACTGGCAAAAAAAAAAAAAACAGCTGGGCACCGGTGGCTCACTCCTGTAATCCTAGCTACTCAGGAGGCTGAGATCTGAGGAGCACGGTTCAAAGCCAGCCAGGACAGAAAATCCGTGAGACTCTGATATCCAATAAATCACTAGAAAACCGGAAGTGGCTCTGTGGCTCAAGAGGTAGAGCACTGGCCTTGAGCTGAAGAGCGCAGGGACAGCACCCAGGCCCAGAGTCCAAGCCCCACGACTGACAAAAAAAAAAAAAACAAAAAACAAAAACTACACATAGAGCTCCCCTATGACCCAGCAATTCAACTTCTGTAAATCTACCCAAATGTCCAAAAAAAGGCCACACCAAACCTGCAGTACGATGATGTTCATTGCAGCATTATTTACCGTAGCCAAGATTTGGAACCGACACAAATGCCCGGTAGATGAATGGATAGAATTCTATGCTTCCATCAGAAAGAATAACATTGTTCCATTCATAAGCAAATGGTAAGACTGGAAAAATTATATTAAGTGAAGTAAGCCAGACCAAAGAAAGGCAGGTCACATGATCTCCCTCATTTGTAAGAACTAGAATATGTAGAAGATACTGTTAAGAGGGGATCTCACGAACCCAAATGCTTAGTGCAAAGAACTATATATAATGAAGATTTTTTTTTTTTTTTTGGTCCGGTCGTGGGGCCTGAACTCTGGGCCTGGGTGCTGTCCCTCAGCTCTTCAGCTCAAGGCTAGCACTCTACCACTTGAGCCACAGCGCCACTTCCGGCTTTTTTCTTTTTGCTTATGTGGTGCTGAGGAATTGAACCCAGGGCCTCAGGCATGCAAGGCAAGCACTCTACCACTGAGCTACCTTCCCAGCCCCTATAATGAAGATTAACACGAACTCCAATGAATGGAAACAAGAGGCACTCATTAGACCCTGTATATGTTTTTTCTCTATTTTTTTTCTTCATTTCTCCTAGCTTTTTGTACTTCATGTTTTGCGTAATAATGCAATATGTGAAAGAGAAAGGGAATCACAGAAACAACAGAACAATGGATGAACCACAGCAACATTGATACTCACTTGACACTATGTGGGATATGAACATTACAACTTAGTGGGGGTAGGAAAGGGTAAGTGGGCGATAAAGAAGGATGGGGTAATGATGATTAAAAACAAATGTACTTATTGTCTTACCTATGTAACTGAAACCTCCCAGCACATCACCTTTTCAATTAAAAAATAAAATTAAAAAAAAAGAAATCAAATGTCTACCAAAGTGACTGGACCATATTAAATTCCTGCCAGTAATGCAATCTGGCTTTCACAACATCTGGTATGGATTCATCTAGTAGGTGTAGGAAAGAATGCCCAGGGCTACAAGGTTCCATTTCTAAGAGGGCAAAAGGCTCATATACCCTTGGCCAATGATTAAGATAATGGCCCTGTATCAAGGTCAGGTGTGTGACTGGAGAGCATAATGAATGCTATGTGACCTTCCCCTGGCAGCCTTAAACCAGGAAGGACAAAAAGGATCAAATGTGCAGGCTTATGCCTTCCCACAGATGGGATGGGCAGCCAATGTGTAGGTTTCAGTCTATTTGGGAAAGGCCTCCAAGGATGCTACCTTAGAAGCTGTAAGAATAGAAGAACTATAAAGAATAGTAGACCTCAAATTTGTGCCATGCAGTCATCCCACTTTTAGCAGATAAGCCTGACAACTTCCATGAAATTAATCTTTACCTGACTTTCTGCCTTACCTCTTGAAGTGTACTGTCCCAGTTTAGGTAACTGGCTCTTAGTCAACTTCCCATCATATAAGCTAAGGCATACCTTCGCTTAGGTAGTAAGTCACTGGTTACTATCCTCTTCATGGTTGTTTTACTATACCTATGGCTGCATAGTAGACAGATCCAAGAACTTCTGGAAGAAGTGCTACTTAAGTAGTACTTATAAATAGCCCTTAGCAAGTGCTACATCAGTAACATTATAACCATTCTAGTGGGAGTCGAGTGGTCTAGAAAATATTCTAAACACAAGTGGTATTAATCGTCCTGCCAGTTATTCCCAACCAACATTAAAGGATTATTTACATAGTATCTGTCCCCTCAGATACACAAAATGCTCCTGGAGCATTGCTGTTTCCCCTAGGATCATGCCAGGCAAATAATGGACATTCAATCAACCTGAATTAAGGGAGTAAATTAAGTGAATAAAATTAGCATTTGAAATAATCTTAAAATTTCCACATTCAAAGAAATATAACTGTTGTCTATTTGGGGTATTTATGTTTTTATTTGGTGCTAGTCCTGGGGCTTGAATGCAACCTTTGAGCTTTTATCCTCTAGGCTAGTGCTTTGCTATTTGAGCCACAGCTCCACTTCCACCTTTTTTGGTGGAATTGGACATTGGAATCTCACAGACTTTCTTGTCTGAGCTGGATTTGAACTTGGATCCTCAGAGCTCAGTCTCCTGAGTAGCTAAAATTCCAGGTGTGAGCCACCAGTGCTTAGCTTCAGTATTCTGTTCATTTGAAAACTTTTTTTCAGTATTTCTATATTTAACATTGAATTGTGTAGTACAGTTTCTTAAATCTTTAATTAGTTATAGTTATGTCTCAATTATATAAACTGTGGTTACTTTATCTGTCCTCACTGTGTTAGTTAACGTTATGTATCTGCATGACTTGAGCTAAGGGGTGCCCAGCTAGCTAATAACACATTATCTCAGGCTGGGTGCCTGTGGTTCATTTCTGTAATCCTAGCTACTCAGAAGACTGAGAGCTGAGGATCACAGCTCAAAGTCAGCCTGAATAGAAAAATCCATGAGATGCTTATCTTCAATTAACTATCAGAAAAGCCAGATGTAAAGCTGTGGCTCAAGTGGTAGAATGCTAGCCTTGAGCAAAATTACTCAGGGACAGCACCCAGGCTCTGAGTTCAAGCCCCAGGACTGTCACCAAAAAAAAAAATTGTTTCTGGTTGTATCTGCCGGAATATTTCTAGAAGAGATCAGTATTTGAGTTGATGAGTAAAGCAATTGGCCCTCCCCAAATGAATGCACGAAATCCATTGAGGGTCTAAATAAGAAAAAAAAAGGAAGAGTTTAATTATTTTTTGCTTAATGTAAAAGAGGCATTTTTGGTACTCAGGCATCTTTTTTTTTTTCCTTTTTCTCAATCCTAGGGCTTGAACTTGGAGCCTGGGTTCTATCCCTGAACTCTTTTGCTCAAGCTTAGTGCTCTACAACCATCTTCAGACATCACCCTCCCGAGTAACTAGCATTACAGGCATAAGCCACCAGCACCTAGCTAGCTATTCTCTTGATTCTGTTTCTCTGGAAAAGTCTGATGATGCGCTGTGCTAACTATTCCCTGGATTTCTCAAGTTTCTATTCTTAAAGGGTTACACAAGGATTTAAAAGGAAGAACCTGCCCCCAAGAAATCCATATGATAGCTGCTGATAAC